GCTCGCGCGGCCGACGGGCTGCGAGGAGCTGGCGGAGGGGGGGGTGCGGAACGATCCACCCTCTTCCCCTCCTTCCCAGCTCCGGACCGGCCCCTTTTCCACCCAGGGCGGCTGCCAGGGACTGCGGGGACCCTGCAGGGCTTCCATCCCGCAGCTATTCCCTGGGCATGAGCCAGCACCGCGTCCCTCTCAGTGCCTCAGCAGCAGATAAGGGGTGTCGCTGGGTGTCCCTGAGGTGCTGCTGCCTGTCCTGTAGGCACCAGCATCGCCTCGGCCCCGTGGTGTCCCTCAGCCGCCCCGCTGAGGAGGGACGAGGAGATGTTTCCACACAGTGCTGGGTGCTGGGGTAGGGGCTAAGGATGGCGGCTGTCACATAGTGCCTGCCTGAGGGGCTGGTCACTGGTGCCTGCAGGAGCTGGGAGGGTGTCAGGGCTGCCAGGGTGTCTATGGGGAGAACAGCTCAATCCACAGCCATAGGATCAACTCGGTTGGAAAAGCCCTTTAGGCTCATCCAGCCCAACCATTCCCAGCCCTGCCAAGGCCACCACTAACCCCCGGCACTGAGGCCTCGGCTCCACGGGCTGTGAACACTTGCAGGGACGGTGACTCCAGCCCTGCCCTGGGCAGCCTGTTCCAATGCCTGAGCACCCTCTGGGCAAGGAATTGTTCCTCAGCTCCAGCTAAACCTGCCCTGGGGCAGCTTGAGGCCATTTCCTCTTGTGCCATCCCTTGTTCCTTGGGAGCAGAGACCAGCCCCCTCCTGGCTCCATCCTCCTGTCAGGCACTTGCAGAGAGCGATCAGGTCCCCCCTGAGCCTTCTGTTCTCAAGACTAAACTGATTATCCCATATTAATAAGCACCCACCCTTTTAGAGAGCAGAATCCAAGGACATGTTTCAAGGCTGGGGCTTCACCAAGGAGCAGTAAAACCCTCTGGTTTCACCCTCTCTGAAGGGACATCTTCTCCTTCTGGAGAAGCCTTGGTTTGCTTGTGCAAGCTCCTCCAGGGACCTCCTCCACCCCAGAGCAGGGCAGGGCTCTCTCCACACCCTTGCCTTGGCACCCGCTGTGTGCCAGCGAACACAGCCAAGACCAGCATTTTCTCACCCCTCTCTGCTACCATCTGGACCCTGTCTCTCCATTGAGCAGAGCTGGGGTGACCCTCCTGCTCTTCACCTTGTTTCCCAAAGGCAGAGCCCTCTCCTCCCCATGGCAGGCTGGGTCCCCACTGCTCAGCTGCCAGGGATGTTGCTTTAGGCATGGGCTGTGCAAGCTGGCATGGACCAGGCACGCCTCATCCCCAGGCATTTGGGAACTTGTATCTCTTGCACTCAACTAACCCCAAACTAGATACTACTACTTCATTTTAATATGCCAGCAGTAACTTCTGACATCCAGCAGACCCAATTTCCTCTGCTTTTGTTTGGTTTGGGTTTTTGTTTTCCCTTTGTGCAGGCACCTGCACACACATGTCAGGATTCAAACCACTGCATCTTCTGTTTCCTTTCCAGCTCCGGGTCATCAGGGACTGAAGCTGTTTTGCTTCAGCTCCAGCCCGTGGCAGTGACAATCCAGTGAGTGGCTCATTGTCTGTTTGGCCTTGCTAAGATGGATAAACACACTCTTGGATCACTGGAGTTTCTCCTTCTGGATATGTGTGAACCCACCTGAAAGCACATGTGCACTAAAAGCCTATATACTGGGAGCATTATGTCCCCCACATCTAACATGCATAATGGAAGAGCAGGAAAGCTGCTCTTTTAGAAGGGATGAGGGGAGCTGGAGATGGAACAAAGGGAAGGGACAGCAAGGACAACACATTTGGAACTCCCCTTTAGCAAACTGATGGCTCAGACTTAGGCTGAGGCCACACCATGTTCACACACAGGCCCCTTCTGGCCTTGCCAGTAACAGGGAAGGAATCAAAAGCCTGTACAGCTCCTCTCCCACTGGGACCATTCCATCAGTGGCAGGTACAAAGGTCTCTGTAGTGCCCACATCCAGGATGGGAGCTGCAGAGCTGGGTGGCACTGAATGACAAAGGGCTTGTGTGGCTGGTGAGGGAAAGCCGGAGGGAGGCTGGAGCAGGATGCTTCAGGCCCCCAGAGACACCCCAAATGATTGCTGTACTTATGTGGTCCCTGCCAGGAGATAGTCAAGGCATTACTTTCAGCTCCTCACCTTTTCAAAGGGAAATGGAAGAGGTCTCAGCCATCCAGGTGGGAATCAAGAAAGACTTCAAAGCAATGGTTCAGGCTGAGACCTGGTTTAAGGACATGTGAAAAATGGTTTGAAGTATTTTTCATCTTGATCCAGTTTATTTCATAGAATCACAGAATGGTTTGGGTTGGAAAGGACCTTAAGATCATCCAGTTCCAACCCCTTGCCACTACACCATGTCACCCATTCCAGTGCCTCATCACCCTCACAGTAAAGAACTTCTTCCTTATCTCTAACCTGAACTTCCCCTGTTTCAGTTTGAACCCATCACCCCTTGTCCTATCACTACAGTCCCTGATGAAGGTCCCTCTCCAGCATCCTTGTAGCCCCTTCAGACACCGGAAGCTGCTCTGAGGTCTCCAGCAGCTTCTCTTCTCCAGGCTGAACAGCCCCAATGTTCTCAGCCTGTCTCCATACAGGAGCTGCTCCAGCCCCTCATCATCCTCGTGGCCTCCTCTGGACTTGCTCCAGCAGCTCCATGTCCTGTTGAGGACCCCAGCACTGCACACACAGTGCTGCAAGTGGGGTCTCACAAGAGCAGAGCAGAGGGGCAGGATCACCTCCTTCACACTCCCGGTCACGCTTCTTTTGATGCAGTCCAGGACATGGCTGGTTTCTGGACTGTGAGCGCACACAATGAAGTCAGCTTATGTTCAATTTCCCATCAACCAACATCCCCATGTCTTGCCTAGCTCAGACCACTGGAGTAGCATGAGAAATAGGGCTGCAGCCTCTTGTTCTCCTCGACCTGCTCTGTCCATGTTTCCTACCCAGAGAACACAGATGAATAAAAGTGTCAGCATATGCTTAGAAGAACAGACATTTAAAACAGCACATAGAGAAGGATTTTCCTTCTGTTTTGGAAAACCTAGAAGAAACCGAAGCACCCTTGTAAAAGCAATTCAGAACTACCCTGCTAACCCTAGAGATAACAGTAGCTCCTGGGCAGGAAGGGGGGATGTGTGCCAGTTTGGAATAGCCATTAGGCAGTCAGGAAGCATTTGGAAAACCATCCAGATCTCACTGTCCATCAGTCTTTGTCTCCTGATCAGTATTCAGCTGGTTTCTACAGCCACTCTTCTCACATTGCACAGGTGAGGAGCTGGGGGCCACAGTAAATCAAAACAGTGAGACAGTGCAAAGATACTGCAATAAAGCTGATCCTGGCACATCTGGTGAACGGGGGATATTCAGACCAAAACAGGACCCTGGAGCAGATACAGGATAACCAACAGGCATGAGATAATGAGCTGGGAAAAGCACTGCCCTTCCCAGAGTAACAAGGAACAGCCAAATCTGTTCATGCTTTCCTCAGCAAGGGCACACAAGGACACAGCACGTAGCTAAAAAACACCAAGGTGTGTTTTAATGTGGTTCAGATGCAGTTAGGTTTGGTGAGTGAACATTAACCCTGGGGTCTTGATTGTTCACATTATCCCCTCTTCCCTTTCCTTGGAACAGAGTCTCCTGATTTGGGAGTGAACGTGCCAAGGGAATGCACTGGAGAGCAAGATAAGCAGTTACTCAGGTGTGTTCACATTAGACATGTTTGATGCTGACTTTGGCCAACTCAGCAAGATGAGCAGCTGGTCTTTGGGTGGGAGCTCAGCAAATACAATTGCCTGGCATGCCTACGGCCAGCATGAGCAGAGAGAGTGGAGACAGGCATGATCCAACAGCTCATGTGAGCTTCCGCACACACCTCACCTGGAATGGATCATGTTGTACCAAGGAATCTCTCTGTGTCAATACACAAACACCCCCCCTTGGTGATGCTCTGCCTTCACATAATCTGCATCCCCTGTTTTTCCATTCAGGGCTCATGGGTAGGACCAGTCTTCCTAATTTTCACCCTATCAGTTAAATAAACCCTGTAGGGAGTGTTGAAATAAGGAAAATGTTGGTACCTTCTAGCTCAAGAGCAGTTTCCCATACTCCAGACTCAAGCTGAAGGAACATCAAGCCTGCATTTGATGAGTGTTTTGATGGCATCATGCACCGGTGCTATGGCTGCATGGATCCAATAAATTAAAGACTTCCAGTTCTGTTCTAGATAGAAGAATGGGACACAAGAGACCCACCTCATGCAGAGGCACCTACATTAAGTGCCCAGAAGTGTCAGAGAAGTGTCTGAACCAGAAACTAAGTCTACTAACGGAGTGTAGAATTCAGTGGCATTCAAAACCAGCAATTTGACCAAGAAATTGGAAAAAGCCCCAAAAGTTCACACAGGCACTGACATAGATAAATGTCCAGAGGTATAATTAATCACAGGGAAATGCAGGGAATCACATTAAATATTTTCTTTCAGGTCTTAATCTAACGAACCTCCTATGAAACACCTAGATGGGACCTGATGGTCCGCAGTTCTGCCACTATTTGGGAGGTGCCTGTGCTCCTGAATGCCCTTTTCTGGGGTCTCAGTGGCTGCCTATTTGCCTACATGCACCATGTTTGCACCGTGGCCCAGCAAAGCATTTCAGAACTTCAGATTCTGGTATTTTCTGGTTAAATGTGCCCAAAGACTCTGCCAAAAGGCCCTGGTGCTGGGGATGTCTGACTCTGTCTTGGGGACTGATGCGAAAGCCACTTTGAAGAGGTCCTCAGACAGGCAGGTTGTTGAGTGCTGGTACCTGATGTGTCTCTGTTGAATGGCAGTGCCAAGAGAAGAAAGTTAAGGCACCAAAAAAGCCTTTTCGACACGTCCATATATCATTTC